ATTTTAATTCTATAGTTTTGTAGAATTAAAATAAAAAAAAGTTCATTGGATTTGGTTCAGTGGTTATCGAGAAATCAAGAATATCTCAGAATATAAACTAATTAACCACCTTCTGTGCTCTAAGTAGAGGTGGAGACATTAGAACATGAAATAACATACGGCATAGCCGTATCTGAGTAGTTACCCAAATTTTATATGACGTAAGAAGGTAATTACCCTTGACCTAAGAAATATCCCCACCTCTAGCTCTAAGTAAAAAATTTTCTTGCGTGGTTTACTATTAGAATAGCCTTTATAACTCCAAAATGAACTTCCATCAAACCAAAACCTTAACGTAAACAAAAATTCCGAGTTTTCCGATGTTATCACGTGATCGGAAAATCGATCCTAAGCCCTGTCAATTTCAATCGGTATCCATTGTAACGGTTCGGGAGAGCATCTAAGGAATCTTGGCCAATTTAGTCAGCACCGTTGACATAAAAGACAGGTAGGATTTACTTAGAGTTGGTAAGTATGGATTATTGGGAGAGCGATTATTTAAGAGAGACTTTATTTATTACAGTGTTTTATATACTAACTGATCGTTGAAAATTACTTAGGATTCTTACTCATTATTATAGAAGCGATTCATTATATACAGATCGGGTGGGAAAAGTTATAAGGAAAATGTGGTAATATATACGTAGCGAATATGTAATAATAAAAATATAACAAAAATGAAGTAATAAAATATAATAAAAATGAAGTAATAAATAACAATAACATATACATAAAAGGAAAAACATAATAAACGTAATGATTAACAAATTATGAAGTAATTAAGGATTACCAAAATTTCCCGTAACATCTTCTCCCGCTCAAGGATGAGCTTCGTCGAATCCCATTCACTATTCAACAATCTTTTTCGGGGGTTTTTTTTTTCAATTTCAAACATCGAGGTTCATGAATCACATGACTAAAACTTTCCTGCAGCCTATATTTTTTTTTTTCACGTCCGTCGAGATCTTACTGCACGCACATTCACTTTGGCTGCAATTACTTTTCAATCAGTGTTTTTTTTTTTTATAATATCCTTGTGCCCATCCATTTTCCACGGTCACCCAAATTATTGTGGATAAACGATCTTTCAATAAATTTGCTCAAGAAAGTACGGAAAAGCCTTCGAACAATGAATATGAGCCTTTTACTATTTGATTCGGGTAAGTCTCCAAATTCTTTATTGTTCACGTGTTGTACTTCCTTACCACCTATACTGACAACCTCTCTTATTTCTTTACCTTTTTCGACTCCTTTTTCATCTTCGTCCATATTTTGCGTCGCGGCCGCATCACTTTGTTCATCGTTCTTAACGTCTTTATTTTCATCATCTTCGATTCGTTTCATTACTCTTTCAAACCGTCTTTCCGTCTTTACTTCACCATTATTTTCCGTTGTCGATCTTTCTCTTTCGGCACACTTCATACTCCACTCACATGCTTCACACTCATCCTTTTTCGTTTCAATTCTTTCTTGATAGCTGATTCCAAGATTATAATGTTCATGCGGGTTACCCTCCGGACTTTGCAAACACCATCCCGAGGTTTTGCATTTATCAGCAGGCTTTTGGCAATAATCGGATGCCTTATGTTTATCCTCTTCGACTCCAATTCCATTCTTTTTAACTCTTATTCCATTTTCATTACAATGTCCAAGATTATATGTTTCATGTTCAACCTTTTGATTTGCTGCACTAACGTTTACCTGACTCCTATTTTCACTACAACAGTCATGCTCATATGTTCCATCATCATCGTCCGTCTCATCATTATGACTAAACGTCGAACATTCAAAGGCGTCTTGGGTTTGGGCTAGCATTGTCTGTACCATCGGGGTTTCTTTTACGATCCGATTTCCGTCAACGGTGGCATTACCTTGGTTTTGAGTTGTAGGACTATTTACATTATCATTAACACGGTTATTGTTTGGACACTTGTGGACAATGTGTCTTACTTGGAATAAAACCACACAAAGTTAATTTTCATTTTGCATTTCATAGATTTCAAAATTCCTGATTAGTCAGTTGAATTTTTTTCTATTTTTTTTCATGTCTAAGATTGCAAAAGTTAATTTTCGCTTTGTATAACATGAAATCAAAATTGGGTTAGAAGTTGAATTTTTTCTCATTTCTGTCAAATAATTTCAGAATAACACGACCTCAATTAGGTATACTAGAGTAATTTATGAAAAAATTAATTGCAAAAATAGAATACAGTTTTTGCATATCAATTTCGAACAACTAAGCAATTAATTTTAGAATCTAAGCAATCAATTTCAGATATCTTAACAATCAATTTCAGACATCTAAGCAATCAAATTTGAATATTTTAGCAATCAAATTCAAACACTATAGTTATCAAATTTGAACAGTAATATTTTATAATCCAGTGATTTAAATCATATAATTTTGGTACCATTGGACTCATCTAGTCATAACAAATAGAATGGTATCAATATAATATAATTTGGATTACTAGATCATAAAATATTACTGTCCAGATTTGATTGCTTAGATATACAAGTTGATCACTATAGTATTCAAATTTGATTGCTATAGTGTCCAAGTTTGATTGCTAAGATGTTTAAATTTTATTGCTAAGCTATCTGAATTTGATTGCTATAATATCCAAATTTGATTGTTCAAATGTCTGAAATTGATTGCTCAGATAACTGAAATTGATTGCTCAGATATTTGAAATTGATTGCTCAGATGTTTGAAATTGATTGCTCAGATGTTTGAAATTGATTGCTCAGATGTTTGAAATTGATTGCTCAGATATTCAAAATTGGTATGCAAAACCTGTAATTAGCACAATTAGGCTTAAAAAAAAAATTGAGAAATTGAAAAAATAGGCTGGCAATTAATACAAAATGAAAAAACAACTTTGCGTGGCCTAATAAATACCATCATAAATTTCAGGATAGTCTTCGTAACTCTTTTGGGATTTGTAAGAGTCCCATATGTTGCATGGCTTAATGGCTGGATATTCTTTCAATTATCGTGTATGAAAAATTTGCAAGGAAAGTCTTCGAACTTATAATTGAGCATATCTTTATATCTGTCAACCGACCGTAACCATATTGCGATACATTTATCCGTATTTTGTACTCTCAAGAATTTAAGGGCTCTAACAAGTCTTCATAAGTTGGTAGTTTATTACGATATTGAAGTATTAAAGAAAGAGTTGGATCAAAACACAATCGCTCTCTTATCATTATATGCCCATCATTCGAATTATCAGTGGCTATTATTAATCAAAGAGAGTTTATTTGGGCAATAATAAGGTTCCGTCAGTGCATACGTCATACCTGCCGGATAAACTATACGTTCAATAACTATACATCATATGTCTTTAATAATAATAAGAAGTGTAAAAATCAGCAATTTTATGTAAGATATTATATGAATCCAATAATCTAAATTACAAAATATTTAATTTCTAATCATATCTATTTTGAATAGCGCCATCAAAAATGAGTCACATCAGACAAAACTACATAGAGTATTACATAGAGTATTACTATTACTTTTTTGTTTTGTGATATAATATGACATTCATTCATTCAATTTGAATCCTCTAAAATTGTAATTAAGGAACGTTAAACGAAATTATAATTTTATATGGATTAATAAAGAAATTAAAGTATTGAATAAAAATTGATGCTCGGATCACAACACTTAATGATTCCCAGTAATAAAACAGATGATAATTTATAATAGTTCACCTGTGGAACTAACAAGAAATAAATTACTCTCTTCTTTAATTTTGTCATATTGTGTCATAAAGGCAATATTTCCTATAGCTCCAGTGAGAATACCATTTAAACCTACATTATAAAGTTCTCCAGGATCATCATCATTAGCAATATTAGGACCATAATAAGAAAATACGGGTCCTCCAACATCTCTATTATCACTTGTAATTCGTATAGCATATAAATCTTTATAACCGTCAATTGCATCAAAAAACATCGCATTAAGAGATCTTATGTAACCGCAAGTAATATGTGTGCCGTAGCCAGATTTACATAAATGAGCACCAACGTCAGATACAGACAAATCACTAAGTACAAAAAGCTGTGCATTATAAATAGAATCAGTATTCCTTATAGACGCCTCTGGATTGAGATTGCCTATTTCAAGGACACCAAAATCGATTCGCCTATTAGCATTCCCCTTTCTTGTCATTATTCCAATATTATTCTGCACGTTTTGTGAATTCCACGGTAGACGATGATAAGGTTGGTTATACCGATAACAACGTCCTGAGGTTATAAAGAAACTCTGATTTTCATCCTCTGTTTTTGCAAAATAACCTAGTGAACACGTTAAACGATGATTTAAATTATGGAAACCTTCACCAGCTATAATAGGGAAATTTATCAGAGGATTGTTATCAGGAGGTTGGCGTTTCACATGTACGTTATGTAAATCTCCATATTCAAAAATCGGATTCGGATTAATTCGATTTCTGACTTCATCCATAAATTCCCTATTATGTACGTCGTATTCATGGGATGAAAGTATAACAACATTATTAAGTTCTACATCAATGAAAATACCAACAAACATTGGATTATGTCTTATAGCTATGTTGAATATTGCTCGAAGCCTTAAATTTAGGGCATTTAAGGATCTAGGAACCGCGTCAATTACTATTAAATTTCTTCTATCAATTATTTGAGGGTTATTCAATATCCTAATGGCCCTATCAAAGTCTGTAGTGTAAAGGACTAACTGATTATGAACTACATTTATACTAGTTCCCGCAAAAATGTTATTATTTAGTAATTCTTTTACATCTTCACTCAAATCCATCAAATTTGTCTCAGTTTCCAATAACCTGCGCAGTTGGTTATCTGGTATATTCCATAATTCCGCTAATGGTTCGGTCTGAGCACGAATTGTCGGATATCTTTGCAATGTAAAAATAAATAATAAAATTATTAAAAAGTGAATGTTTTCCATAATTGCATTGGTTTATGAATAGAAAAACATAAGCGTTTTGTAAGTTGGTGCCCTAATTATTATTTCTCAAAGTTTCAGATTTAAATTTAAATTTTAAAAACACTTAATGTATATGTAAAATAATCTTTGTTTCCCATTAACCATTTTTTATTTAAATGACATAAATAAAGTATGCCTATATGGCGCCCCAAAAAAATTTAAAAGGAAGGAAAATAATACATGATTAAAATTAGTAGATTTTTTAGGGATCATTTACTATATCTAGTTTTATTTTCCTTACATATCGGGCTTTTATATTGAAAACAAAATATGTCACTAATAAAACCTTTTACTGTTAAGGCTAATCTTTACCAAAATTTGGTGGTATATATGTTCAAATCTTCTATATACGTATTATAGTAAAATTTTAGAACACGTATCATTTAAAAAAAATTGTCCATTGTTTATTGCCTTAACTCTCCAAGGTTGCACGAAATTTGCCTAGATAACACGATCTAAATAATATATAATCATCACCTAATTTCAATTGAAATAAAGGGCGCATTAAAATATGCCCTGGTATAAACTTTAACCCATGACCAAAAACCTATATATATCTCTGAGATTTTATGCTAGATCAACGATCCTCGCATATTAGTGTAAACGATGCATATGATCTATCTATCTCTATCATCATTCTATATTATTAAAAAAAATTGGATTGTTACACAAAATTCGGACATTGCATATTCGTGTAACATTTGTGCGGGTAACGGGTAAATTTTCATGAAAAATGTATCCCGTGCGAAATTTATCCGAATTTTGAAAATCAATTTGATTTCCATCAGCAAAGACTCCATATAGATAGTGTTTCAGCTGCTTTCATATTTTCCAGTAGTTGAATCGCTAAGTTATCAAGTCAGGGTCAATAAGTTGATGTTGGCTAATGTCAAAAACTTATCATTTCGGTCATTTCAAGTGGATTAGAATTTATAGTAATACAAATCTACATATATAGC